ACCATCCTGGCTAACACAGTGAAACCCCGTGTCTACTAAAAAATACAAAAAACTAGCCGGGCGAGGTGGCGCATGCCTGTAGTCCCAGCTACACAGGAGGCTGAGGCAGGAGAATGGCGTAAACCTGGGAGGTGGAGCTTGCAGTGAGCTGAGATCCGGCCACTGCACTCCAGCCTAGGCGACAGAGCGAGACTCCGTCTCAAAAAAAAAAAAAAAAAAATTGGATTTAAGCAAATGTGACTTCATGCAAATTATCTAAGATACATCATAAAAGCTTAGTGATGCAGAGATTTTACATTCTATATAGAAATACAAAGCAGTCAGGTTGATGAACAAATAATACGAGAGGTGAATGGAGGCTAGCAGCACCACCACAAGGTGCCCTCCTGCTTCTAGTCTCACCTGTTGTTTTTTTTTTTTTTTTGGTTGCTGGACTGGCCCACAAGACTCAAGACTACATTGGCCCAGGCTCTTGTAGGTTTGACTAGCCCAATGACATAAAAGGAATAAGCATCATTCATAATCAACTTAAAGCTTAAGTTGTGTATGATTTATTTGCTTTTATAAACCTTCAACAGGGAGGCCAGATGTGGTGGCCTGCAATCCCAGCACTTTGGGAGGCTGAGGCAGGATTGTTTGCAGCCAGGAGTTCAAGACAAGCCTGAGAAACATAGTGAGAATCCATCTCTACAAAATAAATAAATAGGCCAGGTGCGGTGAATCACACCTGTAATCCCAGCCCGTTGGGAGGCCAAGGCGGGTAGATCACCTGAGGCCAAGAGTTTCAGACCAGCCTGGCCAACATGGTAAAACCCCGTCTCTACTAAAAATATAAAAATTAGCTGGGCAGGGCACGGTGGCTCACACCTGTAATCCTAGCACTTTGGGAGGCAGAGGTGGGAGGATCACGAGGTCAGGAGTTTGAGACCAGTTTGACCAACATGGTGAAACCACGTTTCTACTAAAAATACCAAACTTAGCCGGGCGTGTTGGCATGAGCTTGTAATCCCAGCTACTCAGGAAGCTGAGGTAGAAGAATCGCTTGAACCCAGGAGGTGGAGGTTGCAGTGAGCCGAGATCGCACCTCTGCACTTCAGCCTAGGTGATAGAGTGAGACTCCGTCTCAAAAACCAAAAACAAAAACAAAAACAAAAAAACACAAAATTAACCAGGTATGGTGGTGCATGCCTGTAATCCCAGCTAGTCAGGAGGCTGAGGCAGGAGAATCGCTTGAACCCAGGAGGTGGAGGTTGCAGTGAGCCGAGATGGCACCACTGCACTCCAGCCTTGGTGACAGAGCGAGACTCCATCTCAAAAAAAAAGAAAACCCACAAAATTAGCCAGGTGTGGTGGTGCATGCCTATAATCCCAGCTACTCAGGAGGCTGAAACAGGAGAATCGCTTGAACCTGGTAGGAGGAGGTTGCAGTGACCAAGATCGCACCACTGCAGTCCAGCCTGGGCAACAGAGTGAGACTCTGTCTCAAAATAAAACAAAATAAAATAAAAATGAACAAATAAATAAACAAAAATTAGCTAGGCATGGTGGCATGCACCCATAGTCCCAGCTATTTAGGAGCATGAGATGGAAGGATGGCTTTAGCCCAGGAGTTTGAGGCTGCAGTAACCTATGAGTATGCCACTGAACTCTGGCCTGGGCAACAGAGCAAGACCCTGTCTCTGAAAAAAAAAAAACCAAAAAACAAAAAACAGTATAATGTAACCCCATGTAATTGTCACCCAGTTTCAGCAACTCCAATTCACAGCCAGTCTTGTTTCATCTACTCCATCAACTTACTTCTTTCCCTTTGCCCCAGACTAATTTGAAGCAAATCCAAGACATCATACTATTTCACTATAAATATATAACTTTTAATAATCGTTCTTGGATTGGATCTCAACCCAGCAACAAAAAGAAAAAACCTTCTATTCAGGATGCTGAGGCAGGAGGATCGCTTCAGCTCAGGAGTTTGAGACCAGTCTTAGCAAGAATATAGTGAGACTCATATGTCCAAAAAAAAAAAGGAAAGAAAAATATGGTATGGTCAAGAGGGCCATTTGCCTGTTTTCCCTTTCTTAAAACTTCTGACAGGAGCATGGAGGAAACTGAAGTTGCAAAGTGGTAAAAGAGAACACATGCTCAAGCAGAATAAATAATTCAGTCCTAAATTAATACGGACCTATTTCTTCTTTTTAAAAAAGGCTATTGATTAGGTCATAAAGAATACTAGTTAAAAAAGAGTATTAGTTGCAGAAACAGAATACTACAGTTATAGATCAGCTTCACAGCTAGCTCAGACACAGCATCACTATTGCCCAGTCCTGAAGAACAGATAATGGCATTCAATATTTCATACACTTAAGATTTTCTGAACCCCTAACAGAGGTTGTTTTTTAATGTTTATAGTCAGTTTCTGCATGTGCTTCACCAAAAAAAAAGTACATCAGGCTGAGAGGTGGCTCTTAAACTTTTTCCCACTTACATACTAAAATTATTCAGTAACTAATTCAAAGCAAGGCAATAGGAAATATTAAAGACAGAGTGGGAAAATTCTTTTGATCTGGAAAAATGAACCTACCAAGAAAACAACAGTTTAGCTATATCCCATTTGCTGTAGGGGATAAAATATCTTAAAAACAAAAAACAAAAAACAAAAAAACAGTGAAAGGAAACCATGTCTTCTTTCTTAGTGGTTTAGGTACTTGAAATATCAAACTCAATATAACAAATGCTAACTCAAGCTCATTTTGCATTTTTCCTCTTCCCTGCCAAAGAGTATAGGGAAAAAAATGAGTTTCCATTTCATTTTGTATATAATTTCATTTGTGTATAAAATTCCATATTTATGGTTCTGGAGAAAGCACCATTTCAAAATATCACTGCAACTGATTCAAGCACTAAATCTTGTGAGTGAATACTTCAGAACATGTAGCATTAAAAATGCTTTAACACTGGTCACTTAAAAGTATAATTTATAGATAGAGGATGTTTTCAAACATACCAAAGTACTATGAAAATATGTACCAAAACTCAAAATGTTAACAATAAATAAGTAACAAAGTAAACAGCGTAGGTCCAAGGCAGAAATGTGAGCAGAAAATAAATTGGACACCCCTAGCCTTCCCACTACTATCCTCTTTCTCCTTCTTCCTCTGCAATTTACCATTTTTGTGGAACACTCCTTCAGGTACATAAGGTCCTTGTGCTTCCCCTTTTAAAACATGTTCTCAGAAGGCTGGGCGCGGTGGCTCACGCCTGTAATCCCAGCACTTTGGGAGGCCGAGGCAGGTGGATTACGAGGTCAGGAGATGAAGACCATCCTGGATAACATGGTGAAACCCCATCTCTACTAAAAATACGAAAAAAATTAGCCGGGCGAGGTGGCGGGTGCCTGTTGTCCCAGCTACTCGGGAGGCTGAGGCAGGAAAATGGCGTGAACCCAGGAGGTGGAGCTTGCAGTGAGCCGAGATCGCGCCACTGCACTCCAGCCTGGGCGACAGAGCGAGACTCCGTGTCAAAAAAAAAAAAAAAAAAAAAATTAAAACAAACAAACAAACAAAACATGCTCTCAGGAAAAAAATGTGAAATTCATATGCACTGAGGTAAACATAACTAATAACCTCAAGTATTATTCTTAATCGGTATTTGCATCTTAAGCTTAAACTTAAAAAAAAAACCGAGTGGAATTCTCATGTCAGCTAGCAGGTAGGAGTGATTTCATCAGTGTCTTTCAAATCTCATGTTGAACATAGTCAATTCAGCCTACCAATAAGGTCAGCACCGAGGACACGTGAATATGCATATACAGTGTAGTATATATAAACCTACCAATGAAGTTTCACCTGCTAAGATTTACTTTTATGTTCCAGTTCTTTTCAGCAGTGACACTTCCAACCATAAACCTACCTCCAAACTGGAAATTGTATTATCTCTTACCAATAAGATTATTCTGTTTTATCACCAAAAACCTCTCAAGGAAAGAAAACAAAGTATGAGGCAAGACCAATGCTTTAAAGCCAAAAAACTGATAAAAATTGGGAAGAGGCTATACCAAAAGTGAGGTTTAGAAAGCTGGCTTTGTTATTCATAACAGATATTTTCTTAAAATCTATGAAAAAGCACCTCCTCACCCAGCCAAACACACGTAAAGACTTGGTAGGAAAAAGCCCCTTCTCTCCCTTTTCCTTCCTGAATGTGGATAAGGCCCAGAGATGGCACAGCCCCCTTAACCGCAAGACAATAAACATGAACACAAAGGTCCACCTGGCAGACCATGTGAAGGGTGAAAGGAGCCACCTCATCACATCTGGATTTTTGCATAAAGGTTCCTGAGAGAGATCAGATTCAGCTACGATAGGAGGGTTTCTGTTACTGCGGCTGAATATACTTATAGTGGATACAAAGACGTAATTCTCACTTAAAAAAATCTAATTAGGCCGGGCACGGTGGCTCATGCCTGTAATCCCAGCACTTTGGGAGGCCAAGGTGGGCAGATCACAAGGTCAGGAGATAGACACTATCCTGGCTAACATGGTGAAACTCCATCTCTACTAAAAATACAAAAAATTAGCCGGGCGTAGTGGCGGGCACCTGTGGTCCCAGTTACTCGGGAGACTGAGGCAGGAAAATGGCGTGAACTCAGGAGGCGGAGCTTGCAGTGAGTCGAGATCACACCACTGCACTCTAGCCTGAGCAACAGAGTGAGACTCCATCTCAAAAAACAAAACAAAACAAAACAAAAACCAAATTAACAGCTAGGAAGAAAATCGACACTGATCTCTCACATATCCTAAAAAGAACCTCAATGATAAGCTTATATTTCTGTTTTCCTCAACTGAGAATGATAAATATCACATACTATAAAAAGAGGGGTGACAGGGGTGAAACTCCAGATTCCAAAGTCAAAAAAAGTGAGACAAGTCTAGGACAGAAAAATGTAACACCAGACAATTACGGTCTAATAGGGCTTTAGCTAATATTTCCAATAAGTCAATTTCAACTGTCAGTGAGAAAAATAAAGTTTATTTCTTATGCAGAAGTAATTCCAATTCAGGTTTTAAGTCTGAACCTTCAAACTTGGGAAGCTTTTTTCCAAGTCATTAGCAAGTGCCTTATCAACTTCATGTAGGATTTTAATAAAATCTTCCACCTATGAGTCAAACAAACAAACAAAAAAATCAAACACAGAAGAGAAAAACGTGGTTTAAGGTACTGATTGCTCTACCTGTGGTTTCTAAATGGTCCAATGGAAAAGAAATGCTGGCAGATCTCCAGATGACAGTGACAGTACTTCCTAAGCAGTCTTCTAAATCATTCTCAAGGAAATGACTATTCTTTCCCATTCCATTTTACTCTTAAGCTAGTACTTCTCCCCCTGCCTCCTCTTTACAGTCTGTTCCCACATTCTGTCCTTCATTTTCCCGAAAAAGTTCTTATTGTGAAATCTGATTCTAATGGTAGGAAATGTGATGTCATTTGAAGAACCATAAAAACCTACTGCCTATTCCCAAGAATCTGATTTTGGTTTAATACAGATGCTACCTACTTCATAACAGAAAGGAGTACTATAGATTCAGAGCTGGAATTTTTCCTCTTAGAATTGTTACTCCCAATAGTAGTACAAATTTTCCAGTAGTCACCCTTTTTTCCCCCAACCTTTATTGCAGACTCAGGGGGATCTAAATGTTTACATGTGCAGGTTTGGTACAAAGGTATATCATATGATGCTGAAGTCTGAGGCACAGATGAACCTGTCACCCAGGCAGTGAGCTTAGTATCCAATAGGTAGTTTTTCAGCCCTTGCCCTCCCTCTCTTTTTCCCCCTCCTCCTGTAGTCCCCAGTGTCTACTTTTCCCATTTTTATGTCCATGGTATCCAATGGTTTTAGCTCCCACTTCTAAGTGAGAACATATGGTATTTGGTTTTCTGTTTCCAGCAGTCATCTATCTGACAAAGGCATTAAGTCATATAAATTGTATATACTATAATTTTTGACAATGACCTCGAAATCAAGTGCTTACTTGAAAACATTTAGTAATCCTACAAAACTTGGCCGCCTATACATTTACCCATACTCACCACAGGGCTATAGAAAGGAAGAAGGTTTTGAAATGCAGAGGAACACTTCTGTTTGCTCAATTGGCCTTCCTTTACTCCCTGAGCCACCGTCTCCTAAAACAACAACATTTAATGTCAAAAAAGGGAAATTTTTTAAAGCTTTAACTAGTGAATAAAAACAAATTAAGATATTCAATTCCCTCCTGACTTCATAGGCATTTCAAATGTCCCAACTGAACCCACCGACATCAAGGAGGCTTATGTAACCCAAACGTGTTCTCCACTGTCGTCTTTATTTTAGTGAAGGACACCACCATCCACCCTGCTACACAGACTACAAACTTGGAACACAGTGAAGACTGTTCCCTCCCCTCTCCTGCTGACCCCTCCCGGCAAGTGCTCAATTCTATTCTACCAAATCTCTCTTACCCCATCCTTCCTCTCCATTCAAACTTCCATTGTTTAGGCTGCCATCCTTTTTCAGATTATTCTTGAAGATTACCAACCACAAGAGCCTGTTAGTTGATCTCCTGCCCTCCAGCCTCAACTCTCTCTACTCCTTCCTCTCTATTGCTTTTGGAGTAATCTTTCTAAACTGATCGTATCACTTGGTGCTTAAAAGAAAAAAAATCTTTAGTAGCTCCTCAGTTTCTTCAAGATTAAGTCCAAATCCCCTAAACATGGCATATAAAAATTTGCAAGACATAGCCCTAGTGTATCCTCAGCTCACCTTTCTTTGATGTTCCTACCACTTAAAAGTAGGTTCTCCAAAAAACAAAAGCAAGAGCAAAGAATGGGAAAAAAGACATGTGATAAATATGGAAAAGATGCATTATTACCCAAGAAATTCATACAAATGGATAAATTATAAAAAAGGATAAATTTTTAATTGGATAATTAAAAATTATTATCCAATTAATTATCCAATTAATAATTATTTATCCAATAATTTAAAATTATCCAATTAAATCAAATGGATAAATTATAAATGGATAAATTTATAATCAAAATGGATACATTATAAAAAAGTAGGAAACAAAATATACAACATCCAAATATTTCAATCTCATTAATTTAAAAATGCAAATCAAAATAAGACACAATTTATTACCTGAACTTTGACATAAAAATTATAATACCCAATAATAAGGGTCAAGTAAAAACCAACATTTCACATGTAAATAGTATTTTGACAAAATATGGCCATTATGCCTTAGCCATCTTCACATTTATAATGTTGAATCCAGTAATTTAAATTCTGTAAAACCTGCTGAGGTAATAACCCCAAATCTGGAAAATACAAATAGGGAAAAGGGAAGCAAGACAACTAATAAAAAAAAAATCACCAGAATAAGAGAAACCTTTTGTTTCATTTTTTTTTGAGATAGGGTCTCACTTTGTCACTCAGGTCGGAGTGCAATCCTTCCATCCCTGCCTCCCAAGTAGCTGGGATCACAGGCATGTGCCACCATACCCGGCTAATTTTTGTATTTTTTGTAGAGATGAGGTTTTGCCATGTTGCCCAAACTGGTCTCAAACTCCTGGGCTCAAGTTGATCCACCTGCCTCAGCCTCCCAAGTGCTGGGATTATGGGCGCCTGGCCAAGAGAAACTTCTTAAGGAATACTCTTTAAAAAATTCAGTGGGTATGAATAAATATATTCCTCACAGCTATATTTGTAGCATTTTATATTCATAATACAATATATTCATAACATATTCATAATATATTTCTTTCCAAATATATGGATAGAAAAAAATATGGCCAAAGGAGGAATGTTAATAACCACTGAACATATTCAGGGAGAATATTCCTTAAGAAAAGTTTGCAGTAAATTTTGAAAACTGATTATTTGGTAAATTAGGTTTAAACTGGCTCTCAGTAAAAAGTCTTTCATCTAGAATCAAGAAAAATGCTTATAATATAGTGCTAAGGGAAAACAGTAGTCTATAAAAATTGCATATGCTGGGTTAAAGTATACGAAAAATGCATTTATAAAAATACATGCATGCAAACATATGCATATGTTTGTCATACATAAATATACCAAACCACATCAGCTAGCAGTTTTTAAGATTATAAACTCATGGTGATATTAAGATTTTACTTTATTTTCCCAAAATATGTATTACTTTGATATTAAAAAAACAGTAATAAAGTTGGAGAGTTAAGCAACCCACACTTTCTTTTGTTCATGACATCATCAATACTTCTTCCCTACCTTTGTTAATGCCTGAAAAATATTAGAAAGAAATTCACATAAAATATCCTTTAAGATTTTCAAGTGGAAATCATCTTGGGTTAAATCAGTCTTTTTAGTTTCTTCTGTGTTAGACTCTGTCGAGTTCTCTGGTTTTTTCTGACACTGTTCCATATTTTGTAAGACCCGAATGAGGCTGTCAATTAGAGGAAGATCTACTGTATAAACAAATCAAGAAACATTGAATTGGCCAGTTAAGTTTGGTTTTTCATTCATATGTATTGCATTAGTGCTAGACATTATTATTTTGGGTACTACAGATACAGTGGTAACATCAGCAAGATGTCAGCCTGTAAGAGGCTTACATTTTTATACTTTCAAATAAGTAAATATAATAGACTATTTTAGGTTTTGGTTAGGTTCTATGAAGGAAATAAAAGAGGAATATAGCAGTCTAGCAGGGCAAGCTCTCTGACAAGGTGACATTGAGTTGAGAACTAAAGCAATGAAGACTCAGCAATCAAATGAGCCTAGGAGGACAGGGATGGTAGCTCACGCTTGCAATCTCAGCACTTTGAGAGGCCAAGATGGGTGGGTAGCTTGAGCCCAGGAGTTCGAGACCAGCCTGAGCAACATGGCGAAACCGTGTCTTTACAAAAAGTATACAAAAATTAGCTCACGAGATTTTTCTACCACTACCACTGTTAACATCTTGGTCCAAGTTATAACATTTCTTGCTATGAGTTAATTATCAAGAATCTCTAAAAGCCTCCTAACTCATCTCCCTTTTGTACCAATGACTCCTACATTTCTCATCAAAACAGCAGCCTATTAAAGTCAGCTCATGTGTATTCAACTTCTGCTTAAAACTCACCATGATTCCCTACCTCATTTAGAGGAAAAGGCAAAATTAGGCCCTCCATACTCTACCTCTTTGGCTCCATGTGCTACTTTGCTAAATGCACCCCAGCCACATGGGATCTCACTGTTCCCCCTCAAATATACCAGGCATACTTCTGGTTGAGGGCTTTTACACTTTCTATTCCCTCTGTCTGGAATGTTCTTCTCCCCAAGTATGCACATGACTTCTCCATTCTCTCCCTAAGGACTGTACTCAATGCCACGTTCTCAATGAGGTAACATATTTATAAATGAAGATCTTAAAAATATTCAATATTCTTTTTTTATTAAAAAGTCTTAATAAAATAGAAACAGATTAATATTTCCTTAAATGGTAAGACATATATCTTATTTTTAGGGGGGCAAGGGGGTGCAGAGTCTTGTTCTGTTGCCCAGGCTGGAGTGCAAAGGCGTCATTTCGACTCACTGCAGCCTCCGCCTCCCAGGTTCAAGCAAATCTCCTGCCTCAGCCTTCCGAGTAGCTGAGATTACAGGCGCATGCCACCAAACCTGGCTAATTTTTGAATTTTTAGCAGAGACAGGGTTTCACCATGTTGGCCAGGCTGACTTTGAACTCCTGACCTCAGGTAATCTGCCCACCTCAGCCACCCAAAGTGCTGGGATTATAGGTGTGAGACACCGCACCTGGTTGTAAAACATGTATCTTATACCCAATAACGCTTAACAGTGGAACTCTAGGATTATTTCTAATAAAATCAGGAAGAAGGTAAGAATGTTTTCTACCATCACTATTATTTTACACCAGAGATTCTAGGCAACCCAGAAAGATAAGAATAAACCAGAGATAGACAAGTGATAAAATATATCTAATTTAAGCCAAAGCACTATCACATAAAGCCCAAAGATTATTACTGGAACGACTACTAAAAACAGTAAGAATTTGGTAAGGTTACAGGATGCAAAGTTAATATATAGCAATCAATAGCCTTCATATATTCCAACAACAATAATCTGTGGAAGAAAATATGTCAGAGACAATAGTAAATCCAAAAGATAAAATATCTAGGAATGAAACTAATAAGAAATATCCAAGATCTATATGAAGAAACCATTACTGAGGGACACACAAAAGACCTGAACAAATGAAAGGGCATAATATATTCTTAGATATTCTATAAAGTTAACATGATGTCAATAAAAATATCAGAAAGTTTTTGTTTTTGGAACTTAAAGTTAGTGATAAGAATAGTTAAAAACATTCTGAAAACTTAGAATGAAGAGGAATTCGCCTTATTAAGTATTAAAACATAAAACCTTAATATTTAAAAACACTATGGCTACTAATATATGAACATAGTAATGGAACTGAATAGAATATATAGGGGAATTTTAAAAATAATGATGAAATTTCAAATCAGTGTGGATAAGCTGGATTATTGACTAAATGATGTTGAGATAACTGGGTAGCCCTCTGGAAAAAAAATTGATACCACTAGTACCAAAGTTATCAAAGGGGGAAAAAAGAATTAAAGCCACACTTCACATGTGACACCAGAATAAATTCTAAATGAATCATGAATTTAATTGTGGTCATAAAAATCATTCTGTGAAAGACTATGTGTTTACATAGGAAAATATTCATTTTATATTTCTAAATGAAATGTTGGCTAAAAAGCAGAATTAAATATATGTGCATGTGTTGGATGATAAGATTACAGACATCATGTTTCCTTGATATTTTTTATAAGTTTTTAGGTAGGGTGCAGAGAGGCTCATGCCTGTAATCCCAGCACTCTGGAAGGCAAGGCAGGAGAGTCATTTCAGCCCAGGAGTTTGTGACAAGCCTGGGCAAGATTGTGAGACCCTGTCTCTATAAAAAATTTAACAACTAGCCAGGTGTGGTGTCATGTGGCTGTAGTCCCAGCTACTCAGAAGGCTGAGGTGAGACAATCACCTGAGCCCAGGAATTCAAGGTTGCAGTGAGCTATGATCCTGCCATGGCACTATAGCCTAGGCGACAAAATAAGACTCTGTCTTTAAAATAAGTAAATAGGCCAGGCGGGGTGGCTCACACCTGTAATCCCAGCACGCTGGGAGGCCGAGGCGGGTGGATCACCTGAGCTCAAGAGTTCCAGCCCAGCCTGGCCAACATGGCGAAACGCTGTCTCTACTGAAACAATACAAAAATTAGCTGGGCACAGTGGTGTGTGCCTGTAATCCCAGCTACTTGGGAGGCTAAGGCACGAGAATCACTTGAATCCAGGAGGCAAAGGTTACAGTGAGCCAAGATCGTACCACCACACTCCAGCCTGGGCAGCAGAGCAAGACTCTGTTTCCAAAAAATAAAAATAAATAAAAAGTAAAATAAGTAAATACATACAATAATAAAATAAATTTTTGAAGTTTAGCATATTTTTATAACTAGGGAAATGAAAGTGTTTTTTAAAAGGGAGAAATCAATGAAATGAAAAACAGTATGAGCCTAGGAAATTGTACTTGCCTTTTTCTATCTTTAGATACTCTTGCTCAGTCTGTGAGGCATAAATGGCAGACAACACTGAAAAAACAGAGGCTAGCACTGTTTTCTGTTCTTGAAGAATGATGGGTGGATCATCAGACTGGCAGAATTCATGGCAGACCAGGTCAAAAAGTAAATTCCAAATGTCTTTTCCAGTGTCAGGACAATGTACTTAATAAAGACAACAAATAAAGCAGTACTTTAAAATCAGCAAACAATTAAATGAGTAACTGTAGCGCTTCCAATAAACCATCTTACCAATTGCTTGAATTCCATCATCCACTGTAGTAAGCAGTTGTAAAATATGCATGTAAACATCAAGCCATTCTGGATTTTCAGAACTAAACAGGAAAAGTAAAAGCACTGAATCAACGTTACTGTCCAGGGGATTCCAATCATTCATCCATTCAATAAATATTTATTACTCTGCCAGCCACTGTTCAAGGTGCTGAGGATAAAACAAGGAAAGGAACAAAGGCTCTGTGCTCGTTAGAGCTTTTATATTCTAATAGGGGAAACAGCAAAAAATAAACATTATATAAAATAATCAACACACACAGGACAAGAAGTAAAAAAATCTTTTTGGCTCTATCTCATAAAAGCAACAATGCAGAAACCTGCTAGTTGATACTTTATCATTTTGGTTTGCTTGAATAATCAGAACAAAAAATGACTGCGATTTTTATAGTATGAATGTAAGGTCCACTGCACCATGCATCAACAAAAATGATGTTCTGAAAACCTCTCAGGATTATCCTAGCCCCCTAGCTGAGAATACTAAAAGCATATAAGTCTAATTCTTATGATCAACCATTTGGATTCTCAAAAATCTAAATAGTTTGGAAACTCAAAATCTTAGTTCTTCAACCAAGCAAGTGAAAAGACAGTGAACAATTAAAACAATGGTTTGGCAAATGTTTATTTAAGTACTTACAAATTAAATTTCAGGCACTATGTTAGGAGTTGAGAAAACAGATGTATAAGATGTTATCCCTACCTTCATAAAGTTTGTACTTTAAAAGGAAAGAAGATTGCTAGAGGGGTAATTACAATAAAGTGGTATGAATGTAACACTATAGGGCTAGGAGCCACTATACAGCAAGGAGACTTAGTTTGCAGGGTCAGGGAAGGTACCTTAAGAAAAATGATGTTTACACAGAAACATGAAGGGGCAAAGAAGTATGTGAGGTGGAGGAAACATACTGTGCAAAGGCCTGGAGACAAGAGAGCTGGTTCAGTTGAAGAAGTGAAGCAAACTTCACATGACTGAAACGCAGAGTACAAGGAATAAGGATAGTACTACTGGGCCTATAAGCTGCACTTTATTTTTCTGAGAATTTTTCATTTATTTCATTCTTTTTTCCCCTATTTTACTTATTTATATTTTGGATTCAGAAGGTACATGTTGGGGGTTGTTACATGCATGGTGCTGAGGTTTGGGAATACGGATGGTCCCATCACCCAGGTGATGTACACAGTACCTAAGCTGTGTTTGTGTTTGTTTTTGTTTTTTTTCTGGACCTTATCCTAAGGAAGGTAACTGAAAAGACTGAAGCATGAGAGTGAGACGAGTACGTACTTTGCAAAAACAGCTTTAAAGTCTAGGCTTGGGAAAAGCAAGCATAGAGGCAGCGAATTCAAGTAAAAGAATGTGGCAGTTCTCCAGATGAGAGACAATAATGGCTTGACTGGCATGGATGGAATCCCAGAAAAAGTCAGGAATAAGGGTTGGGAGTTGACTACAATGGGAAAGTACTAGGGCAGGAAAGATTCTGTAACGGCTTCTCCATTTCTTCTATATTATCCAAACAGGACAGTGATTACATCATTTACTGAGATTGAGAATACTGATGAAGCAGGTTTAGGGAAAGATGATGAATTTAATCCTCACTTGGATAAAGGACACAAAATTAACAGGTTTTGATGTGGCTTACTCAGCACTAAGAATGCACTAAGCAAATCACTAAGCAGATCAATTTAAAAATTAATTTTCTAGTGATTAGCAATAAACAGTTTTAATGACCTGTAAGGCTTAGTAATCACTCTTGACAAGACATCAGAGTCCCAAAATCAGTCACTTATTGAAGACTGGCATATAAACACAAGGAGCAAAAAAAAAAAAGATGTGCAACGTTAATTAAGAAGTTGTTAAATGTTCAACGTAAAAGCACAAGAAAATGTTTTCTCTTTGGTTTAAATTACATAAAATATGATAAGACAGAAACCACAGTTAATGTTGAATAACAGCCTATAGCCAAATGATAATGTAACAGGAAGTTTGTAACCACTATCATTCTTGTAAAAAGCATACAGGTTGCATCACAAATAATAGTAGTGAATTAACGTAACAAGGAGTGACTGTGTACTTTATTCTGTTGTAAGGAATCTAAGAAGACTTTTATATCTGAGAATACTTCTATCAATTGCATTTTCCCAGAGCACTTTGCACGAAAGAGCTCACCTACCGTACTTGTTTGGCAGCTTCGAGTATACAGGGCACGAGCCGAAACACTGGCTGCTCTTCAGACTCTTCCTGGGGTTGGTCCAGAGGCTGAGTAGCCCCATTTCTGACCCATTCCAACATTAGTTTCTCATCCAAATCAAAGAGCTTGTCTACAACGTCCCCCACCTTCACCAGCAAGTCAACTGCAGAGAATAAAACAAATATTGAAATAAAAACAAATTGCTAAAAGCAATAGGGTTAAGCAAAATTCCTACAGCTATTCTAACAAAACCAAACCTTGCCAAAGCAGTACTTATTCTAAAGGGTGATTTACTTATCTCACATGTTTAAATTTGCGTATTTTTCCTCATTTTTAAATGAGGAATTCATCAGTGTCCCAGGAATTTAAGAAATTTTATATCTTCAATCAAAAAACTTTCTCCAAAAAACAAACAAACAAAAAGCTGGGCATGGTGGCTTACACCTGTAATCCCAACACTTTTGGGAGGCCAAGGCTAGATGACTGCTTGAACACACGAGTTCGAAACCAGCCTGGGCAAGAAAGTGAGACTCCACCTCTACAAAAAATTTTAAAATGAGCTGAGCATGGCAGTGCACAACGATAGTCCCAGCTATTGGGGAGATTAACAGAAGGACACCTTGAGCCTAGGAGTTTGAGGCTGTAGTGGGCTATGATCACACTACTGCACTCCAACCTGGGTGACAGAGCAAGATTCTGTCTCAAACTAACAAACTTTATTACCTTGCACCCAAGGCTTTTTTCAAAAAGGTGACTTCTAGAAATAGTTACATGGTTTCCTAAAAATTAAATAAAATTTAAAACTTTTTTTTTTTCTAGACTACATGATGACTTACCATTTGTTGAACTTGACATAATGAAGCAAATGCTATCATAAATCGCTGGATGTTCCCGGATCCTTTCAACCCAAACACTGGCCACTTCTGCCTGGGAAAGGCAAGTAAGCAACAACCTACATGGTAAACGTGGGTTGAATTTCTACTTTTCAAAAAAAAATAAAACAGTAAAGGAAATTCAAAAATAAAAAATCAGCTTTTTTTCTTAGCTACTCTTATGAGTAACCTTATAGAATTCATAAAAGGAAAAGCATACCTGCTTGTTTCCAGCAGAGTAGGTGGGTCTGAATCATACAAACAGTGCAATAATACCTGCCTACAAAAACAAAGAAGTTAACCGATATGCCTCGCTTCTTGCATTTAAAATATCCGAGTTTTCATTTAAGTTTTTTAACATCTTTATTGTGAAATACAGCATGTATTCAGAAAAGCCCAAAAGATACAAATCTATAGTTAATAAATAATTATAAAGCAAACATTCGTGTTTCCAAGAAACAGAACAGAGCTGCATCTCAGTAGTCACCATGTGTCCATTCCAAATCACAATTCTCTTTCCCACCTAGAAATGATGACCATTCTGATTTTTCCAGCAATCATTTCTTTACTTTGCTCTATAGTTTTATTATTTTATATATTTTGGTGTTGCTTTATACTGCAGGTAAAAGGATTAAGAGGACATGCTGAATAAATAGACATAATCTGGGAGGTTATTCGGATTCATGAAGATGGTCAAGGAGGGGAGACAACATATGAAATAAATTATATTATACTTATTCTTTTGAGTCTTCATTTATTTGCTGGAAACTACACATGTAAGATCCACCCATGTTGTTTCTTTAGCTGTTATTCTTTGACAGATTGCTGCAGAGTACTCCATTGTGTGAAAATAACACAATTTATTTTTCCAGACTACTGCTGATGGCCATTTGCGTTGATTCCAATTTGGGGCTATTTCAAGTTATCCTCCTATAATATTTGTAAGAGTTATCCTGATGCACATGTGCACAGTTTCTCTTACCATATATGCCCACTATGAGCTGGTCACAGCACATGCATATGTTCCAACGTGACCAGATAACGCCCAACTATTCTAAAGTGGTTCACAAATTTACATCCCATCAGCAAAATAACTTGCACCATACCAATATTAAGATAAGCATTTACTTGAATTTATAACATTTGTTAACATTTCTCATTCCTGGAGTTTTGATAGAGAACATTATAGAGACCAAACATAATCCTAAGTCATTTGCTCCATGGATGACTGTAAATAACTGAGGAATAAATACTCTGAACTAGGATCTTAAAGTCCCTCCACAACTAGGAGTTATCTCTTTCTGAGAAACCCAGGTTCTTGAATCCTATGATAAAACCCTCACGGCCCCAGCTCTGACAAAAACTGCCTAGAACAGTTTTCTTAACCTATTTGGGTACAAATTTCTTTGAGATTATGATTAACAGCCACGAACCCTTTGCCTAGAAAACTAATACACCCACAAAATTTAGCATAAAATTTCAGGGTGTTCCCAGAACACAGTAACCAAACTTGGGTTTCCTCCGTTAAAAAACCTTCTGCCCAGAACTTTACACATGGAGAAGAGAACTAGCCTCGAAGCAGAAATCTGAGTCTTTTCATCACAGAGGCAACTCTTTATCTTCTAGTTTGTTGGCAAGTCTTATCCTCTAAGTCAGAGCTCTCAGGATGACATTATTCAACAAATCTAGTTTCTGCAGACTCCAGCTGAGTCACTGGATTCCCTGCACCTAAAATGTTTTGGATTCCAGTTGGCTGCCCCATCTCCAAGTTTTGTCCCACTGGTTCTTCCCCTATCTGGCTTACTGCCACCAGCTGACAATTCAGGTTCCTTTGCTACTGAAGAAAACAGGTTTAAATCCTGAATTAGTTCAGTACCTCCTGAAGAAGCCCCTAGCTACCATCAACACACAATGAAGTTCCTAGAGAGTATTCATCAAGACAAAGAAAAGACTGTCTTTCAGATTTGCTACTTTTCCTAAGACGAATTTCCTTAAGGATATAAAAGAATATGTTTAAAAACATAATTATATAGTAAGACTTACCCAAGATTTTTATCACTGCTGATGGACACACATATCTCCTGGAAACAGGCCATATTACCTAAAATTCCCACACAGATTTCCTGCCAAATCAAATTTTACAAGTCACAATGGCTCTGAGATGAAAGACATAAACAAAAATATCAACTTGAACAAAAACTTTCACTGAGCCAACTTTTGGGGTAAGGCAGAGGGGAGGCAGGATAAAGAAATACATATACTGCCTGTACCCTAACCTTGACAAGCTTACAGTATTTGAGAAGGGATGAAAGACATAAGAACAAGAAAGGGCAAAGGCAGGAGCTATGGAAGAAGAACTCCTATCGATAAAACGAGTGTTAAATGATTGATAGTATTGAGATACGCAAACAAAAAGACAGACATTCAAATAAGGGGACAGTATCAGCAAAGGCAGGAAGGGAATCATGTACGTGGCGAAGATGGTAGACAATAAAGTACTCCGGTTGTGGCACGGAGTGGGTGAACAGCATGAGGTAAATACTGCAGGTATAAAGGACTGAGATTAAGGGCTCTGAATGCCGTGCTGAAGAATTAGATTTAATCTGGGAAGTTATTTGGAATCATGAAGATGCTCAAGGAGGGGAGACAACATACTGAAACAGTATCTTAGAAAGATTATTCTGGTGGCAAAATGCATAATGAATTAGTGTAGCCCCTCTTTATCCACGGTATCAGTTAGCCATGGTCAACCTTGGTATAAAAGTACTAAATGGAAAAGTCCAGAAATAAACAATTCATGTTTTAAATTGCATGCCTTTCTGAGTAGCATGATGAAATCTTGCACCGTCTCACCCGGGATGTGACTCATTCTTTTGTTCAACATATCCACACTGTATACGCTGCCTGCCCATTAGTTACTTAGTAGCCATTTGGCTATCAGATCGACCATCACGGTATCTCACAGGGCTTGTGTTCTTGTCACCCTTATTTTACTTAATAATGGCCCCAAAGCACAAGAGTAGCGATGCTGGCCATTTGGATATGTCAAGGAGCCACCATTAAGTGCTTTCTTTACATGAAAAGGTGAAAGTTCTTGACTTCATAAGAAAAACATACAAAAATGTATGCTGAGGTTGCTTAGGATCTCTAAGAACAAATCTATCCATGAAATTGTGAAGAAGGAAAAGGAAATTTGTGCATATTATAAATAGGGTTCAGTTCTATCCTTGGTTTTAGGCACTGGGGGCCTTGGAATGTATCTCCCAAGGATAAGGGGAGACTAGTGCATAGGGAAAAGAAGTTGAAAAGAATTTAAGAATCTATCTCAGTAATAGTTAATTAATATGTAATAACATTTATTACCACTCATTATGGCCAGGCATTACTCTAAGCATTTTCCGTGTATAATTTCATATAATAACTTAGGTGAAAGGTACTAATAGTATCCCCATTTTTTCAGATGAGGAAACTAAGGCACAGAGAAGTTAAGCTACTTGCCTAAGATCTTGAGCTCTCCAACTAGAACATGGCAGAGCTCCAGAGCTTGAGCATTTAACCACTATTCCAAACTGCACCTCAGTTATCAAGACGCAAGAGGAGGAGGGCCCTCAGGCATGGAAAAGGATGAAGCTGAGGAAGACTCTCAAGGTGAAAGCAAAATAATCCAATGTGAGGATGAGGGAGAAAACAGCTGAACTTGACTCCTAGCTTTCAAGTTGCCTCATTTTCCCAGTCAGTGATATTGGTCCCATTGACAGGAAAACTAAAAAAGAAAGTGCATAAAAGGCTACAATGAGTTCAGATGGTACGGTGTTTCCAAGCTTGCTGGAACGTAACAATCACTCAGGGAGCTTGTTAAAAATACAGATTTCCAAATCTCATCTCAGATCTACTGAATTATAATTTCCAGGGTACAGCCTGGAAAGTTATTGTTTACCCAGCATATACCAGGTGACTTTTATGATCAGATAAGCGTGACCATAAATCACTGAGGACATACACAATTCAGGGTTAGAGAGCACAGCTGACCCTTGAACAACACAGGTTTCAATGTGTGGGTCCACTTAGAGGTGGATTTTTTCTAACCAAACTTGGAATGAAAATACAGTGTCCTCAAGATGCAAAACCTGTGTAATATGCAGAGCTGACTTTTCATACACACAGGTTCCACAGAGCTGACTGCAGAATTGAGTATGTGCGGATTTCAGTATGGGGGAATGTCTTGCAACCATCCCCCATGTATGCCAAGGGACAACTGTACAGCATGCAAGCAGAGAATGCCTGAAGAAAGTTGGAGATGTGACATCAGTTATCAGAAGGGAAGTCAAGGCTTTGCTCCTACAGGCGAGTTGCAACTTAAAGGTGTAAAGAAAACACATAAGTTCACTAGGAAAATGAATATAATGAGAGCAAAGGATCAGGCCTACACCTTACAAAAAGTCCATATTCGGGACAGTATAAAAAAGGAAGAAAGAAAAAAGCCAATGAAAGGTGAGAGAGGAGTGACTCAAGAGGTCAGAGACGACAGTGAGATGACACAGGAGCTACAGAAATGGAGTTTCAAAAAAAATGTGGGTGGTCAAATGTTGGGAAAAGATTAAGAGTGAGTAGGGGCAGGAAAAAAACCACATACATTTCCCTTATAAACTAAAGAGGGAATAACTGAACTTCCAATCAAAGATCAAGTTTTTCTGTCTTCGCTGCTCACTGGAATCACCTGGGGAACTTTAAAAGCTAGCCAAAGTCTCACACTTGGAGATTCTGCTTTAACTCATCTAGGGTATGGCCTGACTCAAGATTTTCAAAAGTTCCCCAGGGCAAAGCTTCTCAGAGTCTGGCAAGGCTCCAGAGCACCAGCATCACCTGGGAACATATTAGGAATCCTGGACCTACTGTACTAGAAACTCTGGAGGGGGGCTTGGCGATTAGTGATGCGGGGACATGCTTAAGTTTGAGAGCCCATGTCCCAGGTGATTCTAACATGCAGCCAAGGCTGAGAATCACTGTGGCAGCAGACGGTGGCCAGCGGATATATACAACAATATGACTAAATCCTAAAAGGTGCCATTCCTGACATAAGCTTATTCTTTATACACTAGTAGTGAGTAAATATATTTAAGACAGAAAAACTCAGTACAAAAATAGCATAATCGTCAAATCTTACATTAATATAAGGAACCAAGGAAAAAATGGTTAATCAGGCCCTAATTCAGACAGAACATTCTACTTAAATAAGAATTTTAATTCAACATTCAATTTGTAACAACACACTACGGAATTCTCCATTTTATAATCTGAAAGAGAGGAAATACAGTACAGTGGTTATACTGGAGTCAGGCCTAGGGTGAAATCTCAGCTCCATTCTTTCCTAGTTGTGTGACCTGAACACATATCTTCACTCAAGATCTAGTTCTTTAAAAGTATACCTCATAGTAGTAAGACCAGGTATTCAGTAAACAGCAGTTTTTCATAATTATAATTATTGAACAGATATTTACTAATCCGTGTATGCACAGCACATGACAATTTAATTGGCAATAAAGCACAGTACACTGTACAGTATATAAAGTCCTCTCCTTTAGTCTTTATCTATTGTTCTTGGCAGTTTACTAACAGCAATGACCACTGAAAGCTTACTTACTTACTTGGGAAGGTGTGGAAGGAAAAGTACCACTGTGAGTAACAGATGCAAATACTGAGAGGGGACAGAAGGCACCCAAAGGGAGGCACGGAGACAGCGTGAGACAGGGAGTAGAAAGGCCTGACTAAATCAGAAGGGTTACCTGGTTATCCAGATTTTATGCTGGAAAGATGAGTTAGGTTCAGAGAGTAGAAGTCTTGAGCAGCAGGCTGAGTTTAGAATAGTTTTCAAACAATGGTGGATTTTGTCAGTAAAAAAGAGCAATCCACTGAAAAATGGGAGGTCCGGGTTCTGCTCCTTGCTCTGATACATACTAGCAGCATAACAGTGGTTATGCCTAACTCATCTCCACAGCTGTTAAATGAAAGTGCTAATTTCCCTGGTCCAGCCTGAATCTATAATTCTATGATTCTAATAATTTTAAATTATTAAATTATTAATAATTTAATATTTTAAATTATTACAGGCATGTAGCTCATGCTTATAATCCCAGCACTTTGGGAGGCCAAGGTGGGAGGATCACTTGAGGCCAGGAGTTCAAGACCACCCTGAGCAACATAAGGAGACCCCTGTCTTCACAAAATACAAATGAAAATTAGCTGGGTGTGGTGGCTTACACCTATAGTCCCAGTTACTTGGGAGGCTGAGGTGGGAGGGTCCCTTGAGCCCAGGAAGTCAAGACTGCAGTGAGCTGTGCTCATGCCACTGTACTCTAAGCCTTAGAGACATAGTGAGACCCTGTCTCAAAAATAAAATAAAAAAAATTTAAATAGCAAATTACCTAGGACCTGGCAATGTTCAATTAACATCTACAGGCTGATTTGTTGATTTACAGTCAGTAAGAAAATCAAAGTGAGAAAAATAAATGACCATCCAGCACTATCTGTTCTTATTGCTTCAAAGAAGAAGGCTTTAGAAATGCACATACTTACTCTTAATCGAGGACACTTGGACTTGGCCAGTACTCCCATGAATATATCAGGAGCATTAAATTCTTGGAGAAATAAAGCCACATCCTGAAAAGAAAAATGATTATTGGCGTGGATACTGAATATTCTTCCCCTAAACCCCAAAGCTTAGGCAACCATAAAATTCTATATTAAAATGAGAATTTTAGGCCAGGCGCAGTGGCTCACACCTGCAATCCTAGCACTTTGGGAGGCCAAGGCTGGCAGAGTGCCTGAGCTCAGGAGTTCACGACCAGCCTGGGCAACACGGTGAAACTCCGTCTCTACTAAAAATACAAAAATACTAGCTGGGTGTGGCAGCGAGCACCTATAGTCCCAGCTACTCAGGAGGCTGAGGCAGGTGAATCGCTTGAACCCGGGAGGTGGAGGTTGCAGTGAGGTGAGATTGCGCCACTGCACTCCAGCCTGGGCGACAGAGCAAGACTCTGTCTCCAAAAAACATTAAAAAATAAAATAAAATAAGAATTTTAGACACAAGGAAAAAAAAAAACACAGGCTTAGGAACTGTGTCAACAGACAAAAGTGATACTAGAGAGTCTTTATGATAACTGGTCCTAGACAATGGAACAATTTTGTAAACAAATCTAAACTACCTACAATACTCCAGAGGATTATCCCACTCTTTTCTGCCCCGAATCTATTTACCTTAATAATGTTTCTGCCCACTAGGAATTCTCATTAAACACACTCAAACACATTTGGTGATTACCTATCAAGTATTAAGCTAGAAGTGGGGGACAAGGGAAAAAAGCAACACGCTGGGCACAGTGGCTCACACCTGTAATCCTAACACTTTGGGAGGCTGGTTAGAAAGCTGAGGTTGGTGGATCACTTGAGCCCAGGAGTTTGAGACCAGTTTGGGCAAACATGGTGAAAACCCATATCCACAAAAAATACAAAAATTAGCCAGGTGTGGTGGCACATGCCTGCAGTCCCAGCTACTTGGGAGGCTGAGGTGGGAGGATCACTTGAGCCTGGGGGGGTCGAGGTTGCAGTGAGCCATGACTTTGCCACTGTACTCCAGCCTGGGCAACACAGTGAGAATAAAAGAGTAAAACTTGGCTGGGAGAGGTGGCTCATGCCTGTAATCCTAATACTTTGGGAGGCCAGGGCAGGCAGATCACTTGAGCCCAGGAGTTCGAGACCAGCCTTAGCAAACCTAATGAAACACCATCTCTACAGTAAATACAAAAATTAGCTGGGCATGGTGGTGTACCATCTGTAGTCCCAGCTACTCAGGAGGCTGAGGTGGAAGGATTGCTTGAACCCGTGAGACACAGGTTGCAGTAAGCTGAGATATCGCCATTGCACTCCAGCCTGTGCAACAGAGTGAGACTTTGTCACAAACAAAAACAAAATTCCTTTTTGTCCTCCAAGAGCTTAAAACACAGTAGGGGAAAGAAGTCAAGAACTGCTATAGGGTCCTGTCCAAAACCAGAACTTGTGTTTTCAAAATCATCAACAGAATAAAAATTCTGATGACAATGTAACTGTGGTAGCCTCATAACTTCTTCCTAGAGAGTCTGCCACAGTGCCTAAAGGGGCATAACATACAGGTGACATGTGAGTGGACATGTGGCCCCAAATGGGCCAAATCTCACCTAGGAATGTAAGACATAAAAGCTAAGTCAGTTTGCTTGGGGATCTGCAATGTAAAATATATAAATAAAATTAAGTTTCTGGCTGTCTACTGCTTCAGATTTTCACTAAATTTGAGGTGTATATTTGAGAAGCTTTAACTTAAAATATAAGCTGCATGCATTAAAGGGCCCTGGAACACCTTAAAGAGAGAGGCAATTATTCTCCACAGCAACTGAAACCAGTAACCTGCCAGACAACTGACTGGGAGAGGCACACTCTACTTACTAAAAGACCATGGTCAGAGAAAATAGTATTTTCAGACATACACTCTAAACTGAAAGTCCTAACAGCAGATTCTCTTCACTGTAAGTGATCAAGCTGTCTGTCCTGTGGGCAATTCTTTGTCACAGGCAGAAATTTTTAAATTTAATGGTAATTCCTGGAGTAGCACAAGGGTGGCCTAACAATATCAATACCAACAGTAATAAAATGAACATTCATTGAACAAGTATTAAATGCCAGGCACAGTGAAGTGGCTTGCATGCTATCTCATTTAATTCTCAAAACAACTCTATCAACTAGTTAACATTATTAGTCCCATTACATTCATAAGCAAACTGAAGTTTAAAAAGTTCAGCAACCTGCCCAAGATTATACAGTCTCAGTAGAGCAAAGCTAGGATTTGAACCCACATGAGTCTGACTTGAGCCTATGGTCTTGCTTTTTAAAAGAGATGGGGGTCTTGCTATCCTGTCCATACTGCAGCAGTGGCTATTCACAGATTCACAGGCATTATCATAACTCACTGCAGCCTCCAACTACTGGGCTCAAGTGATCCTCCTGCCTCAGCCTTCCAAATAACTGGGAATATAGGCAAGTACCCAGCGAGACTATGGTTTTTTTTTTGTTTTTTTTTTGTTTTTTTTTTTCAGACGGAGTCTCGCTTTTCACCCAGGCTGGAGTGCGGTGGCCGGATCGCAGCTCACTGCAAGCTCCGCCTCTCGGGTTTACGCCATTCTCCTGCCTCAGCCTCCCGAGTAGCTGGGACTACAGGCGCCCCCCACCTCGCCCAGCTAGTTTTTTGTGTTTTTAGTAGAGAAGGGGTTTCACCGGGTTAGCCAGGATGGTCTCTATCTCCTGACCTCGTCATCCGCCTGTCTCGGCCTCCCAAAGTGCTGGGATTACAGGCTTGAGCCACTGCGCCCGGCGAGACTATGTTCTTAACCACCACAACATGCTACCTCTCAGGTATTCATCTATTCATTCACTACTCCCCAAATATTTTCTGAAAAACCTAATAGGCACTGTTTTAGGTTCTGGGAACACATCGGTGAACAAGCTAAATAAGGACTCAGTCCCAAGGAATTTTCTTTCTAAAGAAATGAACAAACAATAAATATATAAACAACTGAACTACACAATTTCTAAATGCTACAAAGAAAATAAGATGGTATGTGCTAGAAACCCAGATAAAGGGGGCTACTTTAGACATGACATTGAAGAAGGTATTTCAGAAGGGGTGACATTGTGCTTTGATGAGAAAGAATTTAAATCCATCAGAGGACACATGTAACAGGGTGAAGCAATTCTGTGGGAACACTGAAATAAGAGAGGTTAATTCTGACTGGAGTGTCTGGGGTGGCATCACAGAGGAGGTGACACTGAAGCTGGGCCATAAACAGTGAGAAGGATTTTGCCAGCTGGAAGCCATTCTAAACACAGAAGCATGAATAGTACCCATGGACACGTGGAAGTGCAGGAAGTATCTATCTGGAGGTCTCTGGTCCTCACACACTGAATTCGTGGTTACAGAGCAATAAGAGACAAGGCTGAGATATAAACTCACGAGACTTTGCGCCAGGGACTTCAACAGTCAGTGGAGAGCTTAGTTCTGAGTGGTGCCTCAAGGGCACCTCTTATAAGGGAGCAAAAGGAGGCCAAAGAACATGACTTCGCCCCGCACCAATAACCTCCTTCAAACAGCAGCACTGTTTTCTCAATTTTAAAACTGAGATTTTCACCCTAAGAGTTCATTTAAAACACAGGTTTTATTTCTTTTTTAAAAAATGTAACCATAATTTATCAATAATCGTAGAAAAGTAGATCTGAACAATACTCTCAACCAACCTGATCTGACATTGGTAATAAGATACTCGACCCAGCAACAGCAGAACACACATGCTTTTTAAGTGAACATGTCTTTTAAGTGAACATGTCTTTTAAGTGATAGTAAAGACAAAGTAAAGACAAAGATAGATTGGTAAAGACAGACCATATTCTGGGCTATAAAACAAGTCTCAACACATTTAAAAGGATTCAGTGTTCAACGACCATAGCAACAGAAAGATAACTGAAACATTCCCAAATATTTGAATCTTATGTATGAACCAAAGAAAAAGTAAAGAATATTAGAAAGTATTCTGAACTTCTGTGGGCATGGTGGCTCATGCCTGTAATCCCAGTACTTTGGGAGGCCGGGGCAGGCAGATCACTTGAGGCCAGGAGTTCAAGACCAGCCTGGCCAACATGGCAAAACCCCATCTCTACAAAAAGTACACAGCAAGACTCTGTCTCAAAAAAAGTTGTAAACACAGCATATCAGAATTTGTGGAATACTGGTAAAGCATAAATATTTAGGGAAAATTTTACAGTGCTAGATATCTATCTTTAAAAAGAAAGATTTCAAAGTATAAAGTATGTGGACAACAGATTTTTGACAAAGATGCAAAAGCAATTAGTGGAGAAAGGATCATCTTTTCAACAAATGAACTAGAACAATTGAATATCCATAGGCAAAAAAATAAACTTCAACCCATCCTTGCACTATGCACTATACAAAAATCAACTCAAAATGGATCACAGACTTCTATGTAAAACCTAAAATTATAAAACTTTTAGAAGAAAATGTAAGAAAACAACATAATTAAAAAACAGGCAGAAGATTCAAACAGGTACATCACCAAAAAAGATACACGGAGTACAAATAAACACATGAAAAGATACTCATCATTAGGAATTAAGGAAGTCCAAATTATAATCACAGTGAGCTATCACTACACACTTATTAGCATGGCTAAAATTAAGAAGACTGACCATACTAAGTGTTGATGAGGATGAGGAGAAACTGGACCTGGAATTATGTCTCACACACTGCTTGTGGTTATGTAAAACGGTAAAAACTGTTTAGGAAAACAATTTGAAAGTTTCTTAAAAAGTTAAGCATACACTTACCATATGATCCAGTCAGGCCACTTGATATGGTTTGGCTCTGTGTTCCCTGCTAAATCTCACCTTGATTTGCAATCCCCATTGTCCCCATGTATCAAGGGCAAGACTAGGTGGAGGTAAGTGAATCATGGGGGCGGTTTCCCCCATGCTGTTCTCATGATAATAAGTGAGTCTCATGAGATCTGATAGTTTTATAAGCATCTGGCATTTCCCCTGCTCACACTTCTCCTTCCTGCCACCATGTGAAGAAGGTGCCTGCTTCCCCTTCCCCTTCTGCCATGATTGTAAGTTTCCTGAGGCCTCCCCAGCCATGCTGAACTGAGAGTTAATTAAACCTCTTTCCTTTATAAATTACCCAGTCTCAGGTATTTCCCTACAGCAGCGTGAGAATGGACTAATACACCACTCTAGGTATTCATCCAAGGAAAAGAAAAGTATATGTCCATACACACTTGTATACAAAAGTTCACAACAGCTTTATCTGTAATAAACCTTAAACAACTCCAACATTCATCAACAGGTAAAAAATAAATTGTGGTATATACATATAATGGAACACGATTCAGCAATAAAAAAAAAGCCATTGATATACACAACATGGATGATTCTCAAAATTACGCTGCATAAAAGAGCCAGACCAAAAAAAGAATATGAGCACATTTATATAAAACTCTAGAATACACACTAATCTGTAGTGACAGAAAGCAGATCAGCGGTTGCCTGGAGAGGATGGAGGAAGGGAGAGGCAAGAGGAAGAGACGACCAAGGACCATAAAGAAACTTTTAGGGGTGATGGATATGCTCTCTATACCGATTACAGTGACAGTTTCATCTGCGTACACATTGTCAAAGTTTATTGGCTGGGTGCGGTGACGCACACCTATAATCCCAGCACTTTGGGAGGCCAAGGCGGGTGGATCATTTGAGGTCAGCAGTTCGAGACTAGCCTTGCCAACAGGGTGAAACCCTGTCTCTACCAAAAATACAAAAATTCGCCGGGATTGGTGGTGCACGCCTGTACTCCCAGCTACTCCGGAGGCCATGGCAGGAGAATCACTTGAGCCCTGGAGGCGGAGGTTGCAGTGAGCTGAGATCGCACCACTGCACTCCCGCCTGGGTGATAGAGACTCCATCTCCAAAAAAAAAATTATCAGTGTCAATGATACTTCAAAACAATAGGCAGGTTTTTTTGTGTTAATTATACCTCAATAAAGTTTTAAATAAAATGACTGAAACAATGAATAGCCATTGACAATTTTTAAGAAAATGAGTACAATTAAGTCCATATTTCTGGAAGAAAAGGTAACAGGGGTGGCAATGTAGAGGACAGAAGGGAGGTGAAAGAGACTAAAACAAGGATTTTAATCAGGAAGCTACCGCAAAAGTCCAGGCAATAAAACAAGAGAGATCACATAGGCCATTTAATCTCTTTTGGCCTCTATTTTCTTAACTGTAAAATAAGAGTACTACCTACATCACAGGGTTATTGTGAAGATCAAATAGAATACTATACATGAAAATGCTTTTGAGCTATAGAATAAAATACAGATATTAAAACAATGATTAATATTGCAGCTATAGACATATTATTTATTGTCCTTTCCTTCTAATACTATCATGGTATATTAGTGGTCTTCTAACTCCTAACCTGCTCTCAAATATATGGCTGGAGTTCTCTTTAGGTAGGTAAGTATCAGAACTTTCCTGGCCTCCATGTGTGTAGGAATACATTCATAAGAGCTATGTTTTTAGTCCAAATCTATTGAGAGCTCAGATCCTCCAGCCTCAAAGACAGAAGTTTAGCTCATAGGATCTCATTCCCTGTATCATATATGAGTGTGATTACAGACAGGAGATAAAGCCTTTCCCCAGAGTGAAGGACTGAACCGTTTTTAAAACATCCATCCACCATCTCCTCACCCAACAGTCTTTTCAGAGTTTTGTTTCCAGCCTCATACCTCATCCATTGACATATCCCATACTCTGCAAATTTCATTCTCCATTTCTTCATCAAGCTCCGTCTGCTGCTCCTCATCATCTGAGCTAGATTTGGTGTTTTCAGGGCTAACAATCTTCAGAAACACAAAGAAAGAAAACATGAATAAAAGTTGTCTACAATACTAACCAGGCACCCAAATACAGCAGGTGATCGAATAACATTTCCTTGTAACGTTGATGAGAAAAAAAATATTTGATTCCTGGCCAGGGCCACCGTCTGTGTGGAGTTTGCATGTTCTTCCCATATGTGCATGAGTCTGTTCCAGATACTTCAGTTTCCTCCCACATCCCCCAAATTTGCACATTAGCATAACTGGTGTGTCTAAATGGTCCCGATCTGAGTGAGTGTGGGTGTGTGTGTACCTGTGATGGGATGGCATCCTGTCCAGGGCTGGTTTCTGCCTTGCACCTTGAGCTGCTGGTTTAGGCTCCAGCCACCCTCAACTCTGAACCAGAGCAAGTGGGTTGGGAAATGGATGAATACAAATTATTATAAAACAAAAATCTGTAAAGAAGACAATAATCATGGAGATGTACGACAATAATTATGTGGTAGGAACGTGCTCAGTAAGCCTGCCTTATTTGTTATTATTTTTGGACTGTACAGTAGTAAGAGGTGGTCATTTTTGCTTTGTAAACATTTATTCCTTGATTTAACATAATCAAACAATAAAAGTTGTAGTGATAATCACTACAACCACTATCACTCACTAACTCACCAAAATTAGGTAAATAGTTATCTTTTTATTAACCTTTCTTAAATATATTTAGAGCTCACATTTATCTCAATATTTAATACTAGACGTCTTTCGGGTCCTCATTTAGAAGTTTGGTGATGTTCTTGTGTCCAGAAATATGCCACAGGAACTTAACTCTTGTTTATATCAATTAGCTATGTAAAATTGGTTTCATTATCAGTAATTTTGCTTAAAGTCACAATTTCCAAGAACCTACTGATGTTAAGTGAGGACTTTAATAATAATCCATAATTGTTTAGAAGACACAAAGAAGCTACCAGCAAAGTATCTTCTCTTGCAAAAATCTTCTTTTAAAAACTTAGTGCCTTGGGTAGATCTATTCTTTCAACATTCACAAAGTAAATACTGTTGCTAGGCACTGGGGTAGATATACAAAGACGAGTTAGATATAATCCCTTACTTTAAAGATTTTTTTTTTTTTTAACTTTTAGGATCTAGTGGGGAAAGACATGTAAAGGGATAGTCATATTAGAAAAGGCAAAGTGGGCAGGGCGTGGTGGCTCAAGCCTGTAATTCCAGCACTTTGGGAGGCCGAGACGGGCGGATAACGAGGTCAGGAAATCGAGACCATCCTGGCTAATACGGTGAAACCCCGTCTCTACTAAAAAAAAATACAAAAAACTAGCCAGGCGAGGTGGCGGGCGCCTGTAGTCCCAGCTACTGGGGAGGCGTAAACCCGGGAGGCGGAGCTTGCAGTGAGCTGAGATCCGGCCACTGCACTCCAGCCTGGGCGACAGAGCGAGACTCCGTCTCAAAAAAAAAAAGAAAAAAAAAAAGGCAAAGTGATTCAAATGAATTGTGAACAAAAAGTTGTGGTAGCAAAAATGATGGACCAATGACCTATTCCTGGGAGAAGATGGGGAACTTTCTCTTAGGTGTTGATATTTAAGCTAAATTTTAAAGGAAGAATAGTAGTTTGTCATGTGAAGAAGGAGAGAAGTGAGTATTCAGAGGAAAGTACAAGAGTTCAGAGTTGAGAGAGGGCCTAGCATGTTTGGGGATGGTGAACAGTTCGCTGTTGATGGAACACAGTGTATCACGAGAAGATGAGGCTGGAAAACGTACAAACAGCCCTGGATCCCAAGCTTCAAGAAATATGCATTTTTCTCCTATGCAAAGGGAACTAAGCAGTGTCATCAATAGCGCTGTCTTTAAAGATTATTCTGGCAGCTGTGTAGAAAATTAACTGGAGAGGATAGAGAAGAGAAGCAGAGGAACCAATGAGGGAAACATGGGGAGAAGAAAATTCACATTTACTGACAGCCTCCTATAAGTTAAACACCATGCTAAGCACTCTATGGCCATTATAATCTCACTTAACCTACACAATGACCCTATATATAATAATATAAATATTATAATCCCATTTTATAGAAATTAAGAGAGAAATAGAGGTTCTGAGCCGTTAGGTGACCTGCAGCTAGTGGGTAATGAAGCTGTGTTTTTTGTTTTTTTGAGACAGGGTCTTCCTCTGTCCCCCAGCCTGGAGTGCAGTAGCTGGATCACAGCTCACTGCAGCCTCCAACTCCAGGCTCAAACGATCCTCCAGCCTCAGCCTCCTGAGTAGCTGGGACTACAGGTGTGCACCATCACGACCGGCTTTTTTTAAGTTTGTAGAAACCAGTTCTATGTTGCTCAGGCTGGTCTCGAACTCGTGGCTCAAGCGATCCTTCCCCCTTGGCCTCCCAAAGTGTTGGGATTACAGACGTGACCCATCGCGCCTAGTCAGAAGCCACGTTTTTTATATAAAAGTTGTATAACCCTAAAATCACCATTTATTCTATTACAACTACAGGCCATGAAATATATAAACTAAGGACCTGGGCTTCAGAAATGACAGTGGGGATGGGGAGCAAAACCCGAGCAATGCAGTTACACGATCGTGTATTTCTGGAGAACTTGCGAAACTAAAATAGAACCGCAAGTATTCCAGCATCCCTAACATTATACTTCCCTTTGTGTCGAGAGACCCCGAGGGGCCCCAGATAGTTCTGGGGTCCGCAGCGGCCGGCGAAACGCAACGAGCGAGGTCCCGCAGCGCACGCCTGGGGAGGGGTCTTCGTGGGGATGGCGGCTCCCGGGGCAGGAGGAGCCACCAGAGGCGGAGCTCGGGTGCCTGGGGGATGTGGGGAGAGCCCACGCGTGGCGCGAGTTTCCGCACCTGGATGAGTCCGCTGAGGACGCCGAAGAGCCAGTGTTTGCTGTAAACCGTGCTCCCTATGCAGTCTCCACCGGCCACCTCCTCCTCCTCCTGGCCGCGACCCGGGGGCGGCGGCGAGGGGTTGCGATCCATGACTTTGCCGCGTCCCGCGCTCGAAGGCCGTGCCGGAAGCTGCGGAGGAGACGACCGGCACCCTAGTGCCAGAGCGCCCGGCGCACCCGGCGGGACTCCCCCTACAGCGCCCCCTGCTGTTCGGAGCTTGGCCAGCCAGCCAAGACGGCTTGACCTCACCCACCCCATTCTACCCAGGACCCAGGCACGAATATACTCATAATTATTGTCACCCTCACTGAATCAGGGGTTCCATTTCTCCAGGAGCTCTTAGCCTGATTGAAGAAGGAAGGGTGGGGGCAAGGAGGAAGCCTCAGGAACAGATGTGAATCTCAAAGCTAGCGAACTTATTCTATTCGCCCACTGTTCCTACAATCCTCTGATCTCTGGTCACCGTTGCCATTCCTAAAAATATCCGTGGGCGAAGCTGGATGACTTGTAAGGGATTCCAGGGATCCAAACTGATTCGTAAAGCTAAAGAGGCACCATTTGTCCTCATTGGAATGGCAGGTTTTGCAGTAGTTGCTGCATATGGATTATACAAATTGAAGAGCAGGGGAAATAGTAAAATATCGCATCACCTGATCCACATGCGTGTGGCAGTCCAGCTTTGTTGTAGGAGCAATGACTGTTGGTATGGGCTGTTCCATGTATCCGGATTTCTACGCAAAACCTAAACCTTAGAAGAAGAGATGTTGTCGTTGTCTTGTTGGAGGAGCTTGACTCATTAATGAGTCATCTCATTATTGAAGTTACATGTTTATATTGAAAATAAATCATTTGAGTAGGTTCAGATGATACTATGATATTTTGAGTTTTCACTTCCTTTCGTGTAGGCTTGATTTGCCTTGTGACCAAATTATTAGTGACTCTAGTTCACTAACTAGATCATTCAGGGGAGTCAAGTTAACACACAAGAAACACGTCACCTAAATGAACTTGATGGTATTAAAATGTTCAAATTCTTAAACTGTTAAGATGAAATTAATACTAAAGAAGATAGCAGGCCAGTCCCAAAGTACTCCCAGTTTCCTCCTGAATCTTGCATGCTTTAAATGTTGAGTCCAATTTACTCCAGTTAATTTAACTTTTTTCTGTCTGTCTTGTGGACTGGCTGACTCTTTTAGAACTCTTTCAAAAAAGTGCATGAAATATAACTTGTAAAGCCTCCCACAACTGGCAGTATTGTGTGCATGTGTTTAAACCAAATCTAGAAATCTTACAACAGACCTGCATAGTATTAGTATTGATTAAATAACCATAATTGTAAACATGAGAAAACCTTCATTATGAATTTCAGTTTTGCACTTTTATAATTGCAGAATTACATTTTTGCTGCTGTTATATTAGAATAATTTTTCAGTGTCATCTTGAAACAGAAATATGTATTTTAAGCACCTATGCAAAGGTAAATGAAAAACACTTTTTAAATGATTGCATTGTTTATTTTCTCCATAAAAATAATAAACATTAAACTAAACAAATTACCTATGATGGAATTGATTTACAACTATCCACTTTGATTTAATGGAATTAAATTTATAGATGATATAACCTACTTCCAGATGAAATTTCAAAAATATCAATATAATGTCCAAACAGGAATGGAGACATGCAATTATTTAAAATAAAATAATGTCCACCTGAATATTTTAAATACTCAGTCATAACTATATTAGAAAACATAATGAAGGTGTCCAATGTTTGCCTAGAATTACTGTGATACTTATGTCAAAGTCAAATAAAACATAGAGATGAATCTCTAAATTTAAAGCATTTTATTTAGGAAGTAAGAATTGCAATTCAGGGCATACACACAGATAAGACAGGTGGTTGTCTTCGATATATCGGGAGAACAAAGAGAAGGTTGGAGATTTTATAAAAAAGAGAAGTGTTGCACATTGTTTTGAAAGAAATTTTATTGGTTTTAGTAAGGTCTGGGGGAGCTTGCAAGCTAGGATTGGTGAGAGATGGCAGCAGGTAAAATTAGTCTTAGAGGCACAGTAGGTTGTTTCAGCAGCTGTTAGATAAAACTGGTCTCCGTTTACAAGAGGCAGTTTCAGCAGCCAGGCTTGCAGAGAGTTTTTGGAGACAGAGGGTCACCCTATGTTGCTCAGGCTGTTCTCCAACTCCTGATCTCAAGTGATCCTCCCACCTCAGCCTCCCAAAGCGTTAAGATTACAGGCATTAGCCACCACATCCAGCTCATTTTTTTTGTTATATACACACATATAGGTTATGTTTACCAACCATCATATTGATGTAAGTCTGCAGTTCAATACTTGCTGGTTTATGCTATATAATTTATGCTAAAATGTGACATATACTCATGGTATATTATTCGTTTTATTCTTAAAAAATAAAAATGAGTTTTAAAAAGAAGAGGCCAGGACTGGGCGCAATGGCTCACGCCTATAATCCTAGCACTTTGGGAGGCTGAGGTGGGCTGATCACTTGAGGTCAGGAGTTCAAGACCAGCCTGGAAAACATGGAGAAACCTGGTCTCTACAAAAAAAATAAAAATTTGCCAGGTGTGGTTGCACACACCTGTATTCCCAGCTGGGAAGATGGCTTGAGCCTGGGAGGTGGATGTTGCAGTGAGCTGAAATCGCACCGCTGCACTCCAGCCTGGGCGACAGAGTGAGATCCTGTCTCAAAAAAAAAAAAAAAAAAAGAAGAAGAAGAAGAAGCTAGTCTAAAATTCATTTGTAAGTTGGTGACATTCCTAAGATAACCTGCCAATGTCTTCTCAACTTTTATTTGCGTCTAATACTCACAGCTAGGCTTCGTGAGTTTTTTTTTTTTTCCTTTTCTTTTCTCTTTGGATCTCAGGTGCACAGAATTGGATTAATCATAATCCTTAGTTATTACAGAGTCTCGTATGTCATCCATGTGCTAATGAAACAGAATTACATTTTATAACCAGAAATCAGTTTTTTTCTTTTTTCTTTTTTTTTTTTGTGTCCCCAATGTCTCTCACTTTGATCCTGAACACAAGTCAATTCATACCTTCCCTAGTTACTCAAAGGTTATTGAAAGTACTATACAGGCCAGGTACGGTCTCTCATGCCTGTAATCCCAGCATTTAGGGAGGCTGAGGTGGGAGGATCACTTGAGCCCAGGAGTTGAAGACCAACCTGGGCAACATAGTAAGACCCTGTCTCTACAAATATATATAGTTTTTAATTAGCAGGGTGTGGTGGGGAGCACCTGTAGTCGCAGCTACGCGGGAGGCTGAGGTGAGAGGGTAGCTTGGGCCCAAGAAGTTGAGACTGCAGTGAGTGGTGATCATGCCACTGCACTCCAGCCTGGGCAACAGAGCAAGACTCTGTCTCAAATAACAAAACAAAACAAGAAAACAGTGTTACACAGGTAGTAATTTAAAGTCATGGGTTTGATGGCCTTTAGTTTATCTCAAAATGGTAACTAGAAAGTCCAGGTCCAAGTCATGATTTGAAGCTTCCAATTCATTTAAAATGAAAATTTCTCTCCCCTTTCCTAGTTCAGCCCACTATAGAGGGGTACTTCAGTCTGGAGGGGGGTGATGACTTTGTTTCTCTCCCCACTTTCTCCTCGCACAGATAGACAGCTGCTCTTTCTGACCTCTCCCCGATTAGCAGGGAAGGATTGGAAGTGAGAGGAGAGGGAAAGGAAAACGCTTACTTGACTGGTGTTTTCATAATATGGTTTCATGTTCTTTGGACCCAGCAGGTGTTTAAAGCTGATTCTGTGTGTGTGTGTGTGTTGTGGATTCTTCACATATACCACCTGTATCCCTGGAGACGCCTCTCCACAGCTCCCTTGAGTAGTGAGGCAACCTCCTCCATCTTGCTTGTTTTTTCTCAGCTTCTTATTGCTCCCCACACATACAGATTTGATATGAGATTCATAGATTAGTAACTAGGGTAGTTCATGGAATACATTCATAGGAGGAGTGATTACATGACCTCATTTGCAAGTGTGTTTTATAAGTTCTAAACTCCAATGCAATTGCTAGTTACAGCAAATGGTTAAGAATGTTGACTCTAGCATCAAACTAGCAATGCAACTTGTGTATGTTATTTAAATTGTCTGTGCCTCAAGTTTCCTGAGCTCTAAAATAAGGATAATTAAAGTATGAGGATCCAGTGGATAACACAAGAAAGCACTTAGACCAGTGCCTGGCCCCTGGTCACTGCATCATGAATAGTAACTGTCATTCTACCACCTTTATCATGAGCACACTTTCTTTCACTGCCATTGACTAGTTTAGAGGAGCTTGAAAATCAACCAGCAGGAGGACTGCCATATTAACCACCGACTCTGACAAGGATGAACCTGGATTCTCAAGAAGGCATGAACAAAGTGCTACAGAGGCATTCATTATTACCCCAGGGTAAGGATTTAGGAGCTGACAGGTCTGATTCACTGAGAAGATGACATTTTACCCTGGCACGAACCAAGGAGTAGGCAAAGAGAAGAGAAATAGCTTTGAAAGGTATTTCTTAGTACCATGGACAGGGACTGGTTGACACTGGGTTTGGCAAATGAAGTGGGGAAAGATTCCTGGGATTATGCCTCCGTGGCAGGGAAAGAGAACACTGAGGAATCCAGATTCCTGGGGGGAAGAAAAGAAGAAGGGACACAGCTGACTGGACAGAAAGGAGGCCTGGATATAGAGGGGCCTAGAACAGTCCACTGTAACCAGAGATACTTGTGCCAGCAAGACCCAGGAGAGAGGGTCCAACTTGGGAAATACACTATGTGGAGTGTCTGAGAACACCCTTCTCCAAGAATCCAGAATTTCTGGGATTATGAAAGGGATAGCCTCAGGCTACGTAGTGAACCTGGAGATGGTCACTGCTGGGGCCAATTCATTGTAACTCCAGGTACTTTTGCTTTTTTTTGCATTTTTATTTGATTTTTTTCTTTCCTTCTTTCTAACTTTCTTCTTCCTTTCTTCATTTTTTCCTTTCTTCTTGTCTTTCTTTTTAGAGACAGGCTCTTGCTCTGTTACCTGGGCTGGAATGCAGTGGTATGATCATAGCTCACTGCAACCTTGAGTTCCTGGGCTCAAGCTATCCTCTGGCTTCAGCTTCCCAAGCAGCTGGGATGATAGGTGCACATAACCACACCTGGCTGTTTTTTGTTTGTTTGTTTGTTTTTTGTTTTATAGAGATGGGAGTCTTCCTATGTTGCCCAGGCTGGTCTCAAACTCCTGGCTTCAAGCAATCCTCCCACCTCAACCTCCCAAAGTGTTAGGATTACAGGCATGAGTCACCATGTCCGGCCCTTATTTGCCTTTTTGAAGGCATATTATTTGTCTACAAAACCATCTGGGCCTGCTGTTTACTTTGTAAGAAAATTCAATCTCTTAAAATAATTACAGACTAATCTAGATTTTCATTTCTTCTTTAGTCAGTATTTGTAAATTGTATTTTTCTATGATTTGTTGATTTTTAATTTAGTTTTAGACTTCATTGCTGAAGTTGTTCATAGGATTCTCTTACTGTCTTTCTATTTTATGAACCATATAATTATAGTCTTATAGTTGGTCCATATTATGGTCCATACAATGTGGTCCGTGTTTAGATATAGTTTTCTCCCCAATTCCCACTACTGTGCATTAGTGCCTTATGTTTTAAAACATGAAACAGTGATGTTTATTAATCATCCCTATGGTACTAAACAGGCCCATGATCCCAGGAGAACTGTCATATTCTGCTTCCAGATTCCAGTAACAAACTGGATTTCACAAGCATTTATTAAGCATTTTTATGTGTTCTGTATCAAGTACTAGGGATATAGAATTCAGTAACTGTAGGTCAACAAATGTCCCTGCCCTCAGGGCTCACAGCCAGGTCTCCTGAGAGCAGAGTGAGGAGGAAGCTCAGTATTTCTCAGGCAGGCCAGCAGGTCGGAAGTGATTGGGGTCTTTGCCACTGTGGCCCCATTTGTTGGTAGCATGGCCAGCCAGCGAGTCCTCCTTATGGTCTCCTGTCAGTCTCTGGACATTCTCTCTGGCATTGCTACAGTCCAGGCAAGCAAAGAGATTAATCACCAGGCCAGTGAGCAACAGCCCACCTTCCCATTCTCCCTGTTCCAAGGGAAGACTCTGGAGAAGCCCAGAAAGGCCAAGGAAGTGGTGGTGAAAACACTGACCCTGCCTGGACACCACCCCACTCAGCCAGGCTGGGCTCCCCTAGGCTGGATGAACAGCACCCAGAGAGGGAGGGTGAGGAATCACTCACTCCTACCATCACTCAGACCCTTGCACTAAGCACAGAGGCAAACAGAGAGCAAGATGAGGAGGGTCTGCAGCCTCTAACTTCTCTACAAGGAGCTCGCCTCTCTCCTGACTGTCCAAGGCAGGCAAGCTCTGCTCACCCATCCCCGGCAACATCAGGAATGTGCATTACTTGATCACTTCTGCAGCCCAGACACCCCCAGGCCCCCTTTGTACAGCATCATAGTTCCCCCAAGCATGGAAGTATTTGTCTGAATTTTTGTAATTGGCTTCTTTCATGTCAGAGTAGGCTCTCCACATGTCTTTAGTCCCTGAAAAGGAAAGAAAATGATCAAAACAATTATGTCTGGGAAAATAGAGGAATGAACAGTTTTCTTTTCACTAATTTCCTCCTGAAGATTTCAGCCTTTAACAAAGCCCTTGGAAATTATACTGGCTTGGAATAAATACTCTTCTACTTTTCACTTCCCTGGGTTAATGTAATGAGAATTGTACTTGGTGTAAGTTTCATTCTGTTTGATTCCATTCAAAGTTCTGTTATTACTTTGTTTTTAACCATGTGTGATGCACCTAAAGAAGAGATGAAATGGGCCTTAAGGGATGTTTCATTGTACAATGAACTTCTTCCTGGAAGGACCCAGGGAACGCTTAGACCAAGGTGTGAGAACACAGGGGATTGTGAGAGAGGCTGCAGACATACGGCGCTCCTAATCTAGTCAATGGGAGAAATTCATGCCTGTAGTTAGAGTGAGGACTACTTGGTCCTGAATACATCTGAATGTCCAGGCTATATTTAGAAACTGACATCTGTCAGAATTCAGTCAACAAGTGATAAAGGTGAGTTATTTAAGAAAGCTTTATACAACTGGGTAATCAAATTCAGAAAAAAGGACAACTGACCCACTAGTTCAGAACCTCAGTGTCCTCCCCAGTGAAATGGAGGAGTATTGCCTGCCTCAGAGTGATTATGCAGAAGAACAGAGAAAATGCATGTATGATGCCTAGAACATTGTAGGTGGTCAATATATTATCATTTCACTTCTCTGGTCCTTAGGAAAGGTAGCGTAAGAATAAAGAAGGGCTAAACTAAGATCAGGAGCAGGGAGTTATGGACCGAAGGGATCTGATCAAGCTAGAATTAAGTGACGAATAGTTTTTAAAAAATTAACTGATTACGGAAAAGGGGGAACTCAAATGTAGAGTTACAATCATGACTTATATAATTTCTCTATGAGATAATTCATCTTCATTTTATGCATTTATTATTCCTAGTGTCAAATTGATTACTTTTATTCAGAGTTTATAACATTTTACTCGACTCATTCTTCTGAGTTACTAACTTAAATGGCTCCTTGATGTTCAGGTTGGCTTAATAAGTACTTCAAAAATTCCTGGCACATTTTATCACTTTGGGCAGCAAAACAAGAGGTAGTTGTTCTCAGCCCTTACTGTGTATAAAAATCTACTGAGGTGCTTGGTAAAGGCAAGATTTCTAGGCTCTATCCCATAAGACTATGGCTGCTGGGGGCGGGGAGTAGGGTATGGATCCAGGAATCTTCATTTCATTTCACAAAGCATCCCAGATGCCAGGTGAGTCTCAGGCAAGTGGTCCCAGAACAACCCTTTGAAAAATATTAACCTAAGGAATGAAAGATATTTGTAAGTGAGTGTGTGAACATGTAAATAGGATTAAAAGCAAATCCTTAAAACCATTTTTCAGAGGCTCAGAAAAATAATAATACCTGAAATTTAAAATACTGCATTCTGAAAACAAAATTTTGCCACTTTATTATGGCTAGGGGGGTATATTTCTCTCTCTCTCTCTCTCTCTCGATGGAGTCGTGCTCTGTCTCCTAGGCTGAAGTGCAGTGGTGTGATCTCGGCTCACTGCAACCTCCACCTCCCGAGTTCAAAAAAGTCTTCTCCCTCAGCCTCCCGAGTAGCTGGGATTATAGACGCATGCCACCACACCCAGCTAATTTTTGTATTTTTAGTAGAGACAGGGTTTCGCCATGTTTGCCAGCCTGATCTCGAACTCTTGAGCTCAGGTGATCTGCCCACCTCGGCCTCCCAAAGTGCTGGGATTACAGGTGTGAGCCACTGCGCCCAGCCTTGGGTTATATTTCTCTTGCTAGCAGTTTTCTGGCCACGTATAAGCCCCAACAGAACCACCATCAAGGTAATTCACTGTATCTTTTACTGGGATAAGTGTAGCTAGACTTACCTTCCAAAGGCATCACATCCTATTTGCCATTTCTTAGATAGAGGATGAGCTATGTGTTTACAAATGCAGAACTCTTGTTTTGAAAGCAGCAGAGTACCATGATTAAGAGCAAGGTCTGCAGAGCAAGACTGCCTGGGTTAAATTCTGCTCTGCTTTGGAACTTCGCTTGGTATCTTGGGTTGCGTGTGTGTGTGTGTGTGTGTGTGTGTGTGTGTGTGTTAGCGTCTCTGTTAAGGGTTTACTTGCATCATAGGACTAAATGATGGAAACCAATTCATTAGTACATTTAAACAGTGCCTAGTACGTATTAAAATCTCAGCTAAGCTTGGTTGTTTTTATGGGGACTGTTGGCTCCATTCTTCTTCCCCGTGGACTCGCCTCACACGATTCACACGATCGCCTCACACGATCAAAGCAGGTTTGATCTACCTGCTTCCTGGCTTCCCAGGAGACATAGACATGAGCTGTCCCAGATTCCCCACTAGGGGGCAGTAGAGCCCCACGGGTGTTATGAGAACAGGCACCCCTGAACTCCGCATCTCTCTCATGCTCCTGCTGAAAAGAGGCAGCTCACACCTTATGCAGCCCCAGGCTGGGGGATGCTCATAGAAGAGTGGCAAAGCTGGCCATAAAAGCATGAGAAATCACGCTTATGAAAAACCATGCCCCTTCTCTATCCATCTGTGGCATCACTAGCACCTTTGCCCAGTGGGGATGTGGCCTCTGCTCAGCTGAATTCTGGGGGCAGCCAGAAGCAGCCTCCTGCTCCCTATCCTGTGGACCTTACCTTGGCCAGCTTCCTTGAGGAATGTTAACCATCGTTGGCTGCTGACACCCAGTACCAGGGAGCAGAAAATGATGCCAATGGAGAGCTTCATCCTGCTGCAGGGCCAAGAAAACACAACCAAGGATAATACACATTCTGTTTCAAGTTTTTATTTTTTGTAATATTGGCCCATTCTTTCATTCCAAGAAAAAAAACCCACTCGGTTTTACACACACACACAGACACACACACACAGACACACACACACAGGTGTATGTATATAGATAAAAGAAGGTCAGAGGGTCTAGGGCTCCATTTCCATTTGTCTCACTGGAATCCCAGTGTCTGACAGAAAAGGAGCAGTGACCCAGGATAAAGCAAATCAGGCACAAGTTACACCATGTTTGGGAATCATTATTTTAGATTTAGAGCCTGCCAAAATGAGGAATTATGCCTCTTTCTGGGTTCTGAGCATATTTTAGGCACAGTAAGATGAAAGTTATAGGGCAGATAGCTGTCAGAGGGCTTCACTGTCCCTTTGGTTCTTATCTAAGGCAATGCTAAGCAACATTTGGATATTCCCTACACAACTTCCATTCCATGGAAAAGGTGAGGTTCCCTGTGGTCAGTGTAGTATCTGAGCTGGCGTGGCTCACTTTGTCCCAGGAGTAGACAGTAGAAGAGGGGGAAGAGTAGGGGAGTTGTCAACCATCCACAGCCACTGGTCACGTTGTACTTGGCGGAGGTGCTTCATAAAGCAAGGCATGTGATGTCCAGACCTCCTTTTTCCTACTCTTCTTCAGGCAGAAATTGCAGGCCAATGATCACACCCTGTCACAATTATTTTACTCCTTTTGGGACCATTCAGTGCTGGAAATCTACTTTCTCGTTTCATTCAAATCATTCTCTTCTTTCATAGAAGTTGATATGGTTTGGATCTGTGTCCTCATCCAAATGTCATGTTCAATTGTAATTCCCAACATTGGGAGTGGAGCCTAGAGGGAGGTGATTGAATCATGGAGGCTGTTTCTCATGAAAGGTTTGACAGCATCCCCCTTGGTACTGTCGTCGTGATAGTGAGTGAGTTCTCTTGAGATCTGGTTATTTAAAAGTGTGCAGTACCTCCCCCCTTACTCTCTTTTGCTCTTGCTCCTGCCATGTGAGATGCCTCACTCCCCCTCTACCTTCTGCCATATTGAAAGTTTCCTGAGGCTTCCGCAGAAGCAGAAGCCAGTGTGCTTCCTGTACAGCCTAAAGAACCATGAACCAATATAACCTCTTTTCTTTATAAAGTACCCAGTTTGAGTCATTTCTTTATGGCAGTATGAGAACAGACTAATGCAGAATTATTAGAAAGCAAGTGGGGTGGGGACAGTGGCTCATGCTTGTAATACCAGCACTTTGGAAGGCTGAGGCAGAAGGATCACTCGAGGCCAGGAACTCAAAACCAGCTTGGGAAACACAGCAAGACCTCATCTCCACTATATATGTGTGTGTATATATTTTTAATTAGCTGGGTGTGGTAGCATGCACCTGTGGTCCCAGCTGCTCAGGAGGCTGAGGCAGGAGGACTGCTTGAGCCCGGGAGTTGGAGGCTATGGTGAGCCATGATCACGCCACT